ACTTAACAACAACAACAGCATATATATAATAGGAAATTTGGGAAATACCAGAAAGTTAAAGATTTATATAATCCCAGTACACTGTAATCAATTCTCTTTATCGTTATAATCCCTCAGTCGCCGTCACTGCTGCTTTTCGCCATTACAGTACCGCAGGCCTTATATGGGGACCTCATGTGTAGGCATGCCAAAGAAGTCTTTACAGAGACCCCACAGAGGTGCTTTTTTATCCTCGAAAAAGTTGCTTTCCACAAAATCACCAAGTCATTAAAATTGAGTGACAAAGCTAGGTCTGACTCTAAATCCTTTAGTTATAATACAGTATTTCTCATTAATATTAATTTTATGATATAGGCTTTTTGCATTTAAAATTGTAATGTGTTTTGTCTCATTTTCTAGGTTTGGATGATGATGGTTCAGAATTTCATGAACATATATTTCTGGATAAATACTTGGAGGATTTTCCAAAACAAGGACCAATTCGCCATTTCATGGAGCTGGTGACCTGTGGCCTTTCCAAAAACCCGTATTTGAGTGTTAAACAGAAAATAGAACACATAGAGTGGTTTAGAAATTATTTCAATGAGAAAAAGGACATTATAAAAGAAAGTGGCATACAATTCAATTGAAGACAATAGAAATTTTTATTTCAAGGTGTTGGAAATAGCTATTATCTCTAAATAAAATAACTTTAATTTTTTTACTGGTTTTGTGCTAATACATGCAAGCTAATTTTTGTTATCCCTTGAATGGCAAAATTAAATTGTTTAAAACATTGTGACCTTGTTAGCTATTGTTTTTTGTAAATGTTCTTTATCAAATTGAGAAAGGTCTGTTCTATGCCGAGTTAGTTGAGAATTTGTATCATGAATGGGTGTTAAATTTTCTTAAATGCTTTTTCCATGTCTATTGATACAATCATGTGATTTTTCTTCTCTAATCTGCTGATTAAATGAATTAAGCTTTTTGTTTGTTTTTTTTACATGTTGAACCAGCCTTGCATACATAAAAGAATATATAATTTTTTATACATTCAATTTGCTAATATTCTATTGAAGATTTTATATCTTTGTCCATGAGAGATCTTTATGTGTAGTTTTTCTTCCTAGTAATCCATCTGTCTGGTTTGGGTATTAAGGCCATGTTGACCTGATAGAATGCGTTAGAAGGATTTCCTCCTCTTCTGTTTTTTGGAAGATTTTGAATAGTTTGATGTTAATTCTTCTTTATGTGTGGTAGAATACACTAGTGAAGTTATTTGCTTTCTGTCTTAGGAGGTTATTTTAATTGTTGATTCAATTTCTTTGATAGCTATATGCCTATTCAGGTTACTTTTTACCCCCTTGTATTAGTTTTGCTAAGTTGTCTCATTCTAGGAATTGATCTATTTTATCTGAGTTATAAAATTTGTGGGCTTAGAGTTATTCTTTGCATTCTTGTGCTATCCTTAGAATGTTCATGGAATTGGTAGTGATTATGCCTCTTTCATATTTAGTATTAATAATTTATGTCTCTTTTTCATTATCACTTGGCTAGAGGCTTATCAGTTTTACTTGTCAACGAACCAGCTTGTGTTTTTTTTATTTTTCCCCCCCACTTATTTTGAATTTAATTTGTTCTTTGAGTTTCTTGAGGTCTATTTTCTTTTCAGATACATGTGTTCACTGCTATAAGTTTCTCTCTAAGTGCTGCTTTTGCTATATCCCACACCATTTTGTTTTTTTTTTTAACCCCACACATTTTGATCCCTTGTATGACTCTGTAGAATAAGCACTGAACTGCTAACCACAAGTCCTCAGTTCAAACCCACAAATCGTTCTCGGAAACCCTATACAGGGTTGCTATGACTTGGAACTAACTAGAGGACACACACACATTTTGATAAGTTGTATTTTTATTTTCATTTAGTTCAGACTATTTTGAAATTTCTTCTTTGGTCCATTTGTTATTTAAATGTGTTGTTTAATCTCCAAATATTTTGAGAAATTATAACTATGTTTCTGTTGTTGATTTCGAATTTAATTACATACTTGTTAAGGTGTGATTCAGAGCCCAGAATGTGCACTGTAAGCATCAGAAAAATGTGTATTCTGCTGTTGGGAATGAAGTAGTCAGTAAGTGTCAGTTAGATCCAGTTGATTGATGGTGTGTTCAGTTCAACCATATCAGTAATAATTTTCTGCCTTCTGCATCTTTCAATTGCTGATAGAGGGTTTTTGATGTTTCCCACTATAATAGCGTATTTATCAATTTTCCTTTGTAGTTCTAGCAGTTTTTGTGACATGTATTTTGATGGTGTTGTTAAATGCATACACGTTAAGTATTGTTACGTCTTTTGGGAGAATTGACCCCTTTATCATTATGTGATTTCTCTCTTTATCCCTGATATTTTCCTTACTCTGAAATCTGCTTTGTATGAAATTAGTCCAGCAATTTCATCTTTCTTGTGATTAGTGTTAGCATGGTGTGTCTTTCATCACCTCTTTTAGTCTATCTGGTGCTTTATTTAAAATGAGTTTCTTATAAACAATATAAGTTGGATCTTATTTTTGTATCTACTCTGATGGTGGTGGTGTAGATTCCGACTCAAAGCAACCCTGTATAGGGTTTCTGAGGCTGTAAATCTTACGGGAGCAGAAAGCCTCATTTTTCTCCTATGAAATGGTTGGTAGTTTCCAACTGCAATCTTGAAGTTAGCAGCCCAACTTGTAACCATCATCTACTCTGATAGGCTGTTTTTAAATTGGTATTAGACCATTCACATTTCAAGTGATTATTGCTGTAGTTGAATTAATGGTTAACCCATATGTGTTACTGTTTTCTATTCATTACTCTTGTTCTTTTTTTGTCTTCCCCACTCTTTTTAGCCACCTTTGGTTTATATTGGCAATTTGTATGACTCCATATCCTCTCCTCTCTTAGTCTGTCATGTAGACTTAAACACAGTTTTAGTGGTTGCCCTAGAGTTTGCAATATACAATTTCAACTAACCTAAATCCACTTTCACATAACTCTACTGGTATAACAGAGTATCTCCACTGCATTTCTCCTGTTCCTTATTGCTGCCATCCAGTTCACTTACTTATTCATAAACTGTAATCTTCCAAGACATTGTTGCTATTATTTTAAACAAATGCTTATATGCTAGAGCAGTTAAGAATAAAAGAGTATTTTAATTGCATTTGTTTCTTTTTGAATATTCCTCCTTTCTTTATGTAGATCTGACTCTCTGACCTATATAATTTTCCTTCTCTGAAGAACTTCTTTTACCATTCATTGCAAGGCAGTTCTACTGGTGACAGATTCCTTCAATTGTTGTTTGCCTAAAAAACTGTTTCTTCTACATTTTTAAAGAATAGTTTTTCTAGGTACAGAATTTTAGAATGGTATTTTTTCTTTAAAACTTGAAATATTTCTTTGTATTCATCTTGTTCCCATGATTTGTGGAGCGAAATCTAATGTAATTCTTATCCTTGTTCCTTTGCCAGGTATTTCCCCCCCTCTGGCTTCTTTCAAATATGACTTGCTCAGGTGTGGATTTTTTGGTATTTATCCTGCTTGGTTTTCACTAAGTAGCCTAGATCTGTAGTTTGGTGTCTGTCAACAATTCTGGGTAAATCTCAACCATGATTTATTAAACTATTTTTACTGTTCCTATCAGTCTTTTAAAAAAATTTTGTATTCCCATTATACATATGTTACACCTTTGTTACCTTTTGTAACATTTTGTAATTGTTCCACAGTTACAACTTTACCTTAGAGAGTTTACTCAAGCTCACTTGAATATATGAGAATAAATCTAAGGAGAAAGAATGAAAGAACTAAGATAAAAACAAGTAAGAATAGTAGAGTACAAGAATCAACAAGGGCAAATATTGGTTCTTTAAAATACTAATAAAATCTCAAGATTTATTTTTGTAAAGTAGGGAGATATACTCTTATTAATAAGGAAGATTATTATAGGTGCTGCAATAATGTAGAGATCTTTTTTTTTTTGCTTTCAGAGGATTACTTCATTCCACAAGAATTTTAAATTTAGAAAATGGAAAGATTCTTCAAAATTAAGCTATCAAAAATTTTTTAAAGGAAAGAATGATTTAATAACCACTTTAGAAATCAGTCCTGGTGTGGCGCTGTGGGTTAATGCACCAGACTGCAAAGCCGTTTGAACTGCAAGGTTGGTGGTTCAAGCTCACCAGCTGCTCCTTGGAAACCCTATACAGGGTCACTATGGGTCGGAATCAACTCGACGACACTTAACAACAACAACAATAGAAATTAGATCATTAAGTTCTAAATGTTCAGGAAACAAGCAATTCCAATCCTGCACTAATTATTCCAAAGTATACAAGAAGAAGGCACACTTCCCAACTCAATTCCAGGAGATTTTAGTAACAACTGGTAATCTCAGTCATTAAAACACATTTGAAAAAAAATCTAAAAATAGCAATTGAATTTATCAATGATAGAAAAGAAATTAGTTTATTCCAGGAATGCAAGCATGGTTCAGCGTGGAGGGAGAAAAAGACTATAACAAAAAAATGCACGGAAACAAATCATTTATAATTAAAAAGTAAAACAAAAATTTTTGAAAACTTGGATTTAAACGCATGCGTCCTTTAAGAAGAAGCTTTAATGGTATGTATAAAATCTGATTCATGGTGAATCCGTGAACCATTTCCTTTCAGATGATCAATATAACTAGTAGGCTCACAATTTCTTTTTAGCATTATACTAAAGGGCCTGTGTGCAGTGGAGCTAAACTATTAGGATTGTAAATCCTCCCAATGAGCCACAGTCTTATACAATATCTTCTGTTTGAGTGCAGGTGGAATTTGAGACTAATTCTACTAAAATATGGCAAAGGTAGCTCCTCCCTTGATTAGATTACGTTGTATGACAAAAGTGATGGCATAGTCAAGACACCTTTTAAGCTGACTGGCGAGTCTCCTGCCCTTGAAGAAGTAAGCTGCCGTGTTGTGGGAAGACCTTTGAGAGGGTCACATGACAGGAAACAGTGGGTCGCTGCTATGAGCTGAGAGTAACTGCCAGCCGACAACTGGAAGAAAACATTTCAGTTCCACAGCTTCAAATAACCGAATTCTGCCAACAATCATGATCCTGGAAAAGAACCTTGAGCACTAGAAAGGAACACAATCTGGTCAACACTTAAGTCTGTGAGGCCCTGAGCAGAGGACCCAGTTAACTGGTACATGTTGTTAAGTGCCATCAAGTCGGTTCCTAGCCATAGTGACTCTATAATGTTTCCGAGGAGTGGCTGCTGAGCTTGAACCACCAACCTGTGGTTCAAACTGACTTTGCAGTCCCATGCATTAACCCAAAGCATCATACCAGGACTCACACATAAGTTGTAAAATAATGTATGTTGTTATAGGCCACTAAGTTTGTAAAATAATGTATGTTGTTATAGGCCACTAAGTTTGTGGCAATTTGTTATGCAACAATGTTGTGTACCGTTGAGTCAGTTCTGACTCACAGCTAGGAACAGCTGGTGAGTTTGAACCACCGACTTAGGGTTTGTAGCCCTTTATTTATAATACAGTGCCATACCAGGACTCCTATGAAGCAATAGATAATAATACAAAACGTATGAAACAAAGCTGTCATT